AAGGAGGTTGGATTAATGATAAATTGTAATATCACATGGTATAACGATTACTATATATAATACCATGGAAGTAAATTGTTAATAACTAACTACCAGTAGTGATAAATAGTAACTAATGAAAATATAATAACTGGGTGTGCACTTATAACTTTTCTTGCATAAAATTTCTAAGTATTACTTGTATACGCGTAAACATTAGATGACTATAAAAATCGAAATGATGTGAGATTACGATAGAAATAATGATCCGTATCAAATATGTCGTTACTTGATAAGTTATAATTCCTATCGGACTAATGTTATATTACTCTATATGAAATCTCTAATGGTATAACGCCTATATTCTATAAACTAATTTGTATTATTTCTTGCTTCTAGTATAAATCTTGGGTTGCAACTAAAAGTTTCATAGATGCTATCAATAATCCGCCCATTAAAATTGCTACTTTTGGACCACTGACTACGGTTGGCTCTAGACCGGTAGCTTCATTGACTAAATATTGGAATCTAGTCACGGTAAAGATAATAATATACTTAGACTGTATTAAGTGTAGAATCATGACAATTGTTATTAAGACTGTCTAGAATTGCTCCAAATTATCTTATCACATTATTGCTGTTTATTCTTCTCTCCATCTACAAACATTAAATGTACGATATAAAAAATACATAAGAGTCTTGTAATTCTTATCTAGTCTAAATAAGATATTAAAGATAGAGATATTCTACCCTAATATGCATATGTCATGAAAGAAAACAGATAATAATCAATTTTAGAGAAAATTAACGAAATAAACGCAAGTCATTTACTGTAAAACCTATTAATTCATGCTAGGTAACCAGCGGAGTGAGCTCTGCTGCTCTAATTAACAGAGATATCTATCCTTATTTCTTTACGACTGANACAACCGACGTAACTCTTAATCCTATTCGAATAGCCATGCTGCGACGATTTAATTGGACTCGGATTGCTACGATCCACCATATCTCAGAGCTACAGATTCCAAGTTTATAATAATGTAGAGTTTATTATTGATTATCTACACAGTGTTGCGATTCTAGATACAATTCTAGATACAATTCTAGACTATTCAAAAGTTAAAGTTTACTTTATTTGTATTACTTTATAGAGTAGTATACCTAGGTTACCTACCCTAAATAGATACTCGCATCTATACAGTAGTCTAGAGTAGCTGTTTGCTAAAATTCTAAATAAGACAAAATAATCGTAAAAATAACATATGCACTGTAATTCTAGCCTGCTTAGAGATTACAATTTATATTATTTGTATTACTTTGTGGCGTAGCGTAACTAGGTCCCTTATCTTAAATAGATACTTGCATCTATTTATAAGTCTAGAGTACCTGCTAGATAAAATTCTAAATAAAGACATAGAATGGTGAAAACAACTGATAGCAACCCTTAAACTTTCAGTTAATCAATTGCCAAGTTAAATTATGTGCTAATATTGGCCAATAAATATTGACTTTGTATTTTTCAGCTTTTCTTTAACTTCGCTGAATAAAAGTTTTATTACTATTTTATCTCTTGATATGATAAGTCTACTCCTACATTCGATACATATGATATTTTATCACATTGTAAACTAAGTCATAAAATTTTACATTTTGATTCTATCGAAATAGAACAGATCTAATCATTTGTAAGACGTCTAATGCTGTAAAATCATTGAAAATTTGAAACTGTAGGCCGCTAAAAATTTTATCAGAGATGCAGACAAACTAAATTTCACTTTGATCACTACAGAAGCTTTTTTTACTTCTCCAGTAGAACAACTCAAAAGCATTAAGGTAATAAGTTGAAGTTATTTATTATAATTAGCACAAATAATCAGCTTCATAGTATTCATTTAAGTTTCTATAGTTAAGGTAGTAAATTATGTTATCATTGAGATGTTACTCTAGGAAAAAGATCGAATAATGGTTATTGTCCACGTTATAGTATCATTTTATCTAACAAAACATTGAATTTTAGAATTACTTCAATAATTATAATTTTTAAATTCTAAGTACGAAGCAAGACTATGTGTTTATCCCAGTCTTCTGTACTTAATTATATTGACTAATTTTAAGCGTAGTTTTCAATGCTTACTCATAAGAATCAAATTTTAACTGATATCTTTTCTATAGGAGAAAGGTGCTAAGATTATTTTGTTATTTGCCGATCTGATTCCTACCATCAGATTGTTTTGCGAAGTAGTGCCGAATTGAACCATTTTAACGTTGTAAATTTTTAATAGTTTTAATATGAATAATTAAAGGTTACTTAATAAGAAGACGTAAAGTTGACTTATTTTACATCATTGTCACCAATTAGTCACTGCAACGACTATTAATTACATTTATAGAAATTTAATCTTACGTGTATAAAGCCGATTTCCGTATTTTGTAATTAATCTTTGTTAGGTTTATCATCAAAAAATGTATGGGTCGCATTACGTTTGGTTTATAACCTATGGATATATCAAGAATTAGTGGAGAGCATTTCGTACAGATGCTAATGTTAACTGCACGTCAGAGCAATTGGAATTAGCAATGTCATCCTATTTTACCTTTAATAATGTCGAGCTTGGTTCTGATGAAACGACAGTCTCAGGGATGGTAAGCGTTGTCTCAGACTATCAGATATTGATACATAGCTATCGTATATCATTTTACTAATAGGAACTTTCTACACTAGCAAAGTTATTTCTGTTTTCGTAAGATGATCTGTCTTGTCTGTGAGTGAGATTGTTTTAGCTTTAACTCGGCTATCATAAATTACTGCAGATATATTATAGAAAATACACAATAATGAATTTTATTAAGATCTTTGATTACAATTTTATTCTTCGTGATAGAGTTGATAGTAGACTGTGAAGTTTCTATCTCCTTATTCATGAATTATAAATGACATTTTGTTTATAGTTCCTGTGTTTGAAATAAATTAATAGATATTTATATATGAAAGAAGGGTAAATTAACGAATAATTTACTAACATTAAAATATATCGTATGTTACTTGTATTCTAACTAGAACTCATCGCAATATATTGAACATTATAATAATTTCGTAGTAAATCCTCTTAACTCGCCTTTCAAGTATTTCCAAACTAATGGCTATGACGCAGTGTGGGCGCTAGCACTAGCACTAAATAGAACTGAAAATATACTGAAAAAAAATGGAAGGTCCTTATCTGATTTTAATTATAGTTGTTCTGTTCTTCAATAATAAGTTCACTCCGTGAGTAAGATTGATAACCGCATTTTATTATTAGTTGATCGGTATTTATAGCTACACGAGGTTACACCTCGATACGATTACAGTTTATACTTCGCACTACAATTAGTAACTTATCAGTCCGCCTTTTACAATGTTATCACCTACTGTATTACAAGTACTACCATACAATCATCATATAGGTACATATATAGTGTTTCCTTTATTTATGCCTTTATGGTTAAGATATCGTATTTAATCTATTACGAACTATATATACAACAATAGTAATACCATGATAAGAAGTATTTTATTTGATGAGATATAAGTGATGTCTATATCTATCAAAATCAGAGTAAGCACAGAGTACATTAAGGAGAGAGATTGATTAATCTTTCTATGTTATGTTTGATGGAAGAAATTTGCGATTCTATACTTGAATAAGTTACTGTCTTTTGATGAGATGTATTAGCATCACATTTAGTAATACAATTCTTTTTCTTGATTGAAAATAATCCTTATGTAATAGTTGCGTTCACTCCACTGTTACTACTACGTATAGTCAGAAAGACCCTGTTTAATTATTCGGAATAAAAACTGAAATACAAATATCTTTACGATTTATTCATACTGTACCTTGATAACTTAATCTTTACTAAAAATTCTTTCTAAATTGGCTGATTTACTAATATATTAAGCTTTAACTAAATGATACGAATTCAGCTAATATGCGTAAATAGGCTTAAGCAATGTTTAATTATTCAATATTGGCTACACTAATAGTTATTGGAAACGAATCGAACGTTATTCCTATTAGTCTACATTATGGTATAACAAATGAACTACAGATTTATGAGAATAAAATCTATTGGATAGGTATGTCCTGCACAGTCTTACTTTTTTAGCTTGGACGATAAATACTAAATGCTAATATGTTAGATTAAGAAAGTCAACATTACCTTTGAGGACTACCCATTACACTAACAATCAGTAATGTTAGTTTACGAGATTTATCCTTAAGAAATATCATTTTCTCGTTATGGAGACAGTTAGATAGTTTAATAATCGCCGTATTTTTCATATTTCTGCAATTAGCACTTCTTACCTCCAGATTACAGATTTCCGTGATTTGTATGTACTTAATAATAATTCATTATTAATGATAATTCTAGGTGGAGCTGTACCCGCTGATACGGTTTCAGTTGAAGTCAGAATTATTGGTGTTTCCCAGCATGTCTTTATCACTGTAAATGTACTGGCAATCGCGGCAATAATTTTGGCAATTGTTTTCCTTTCGCTTAATATAATGAAAAGAAAGCGAAAGTAAGAATAGCTTTACCTAACACTTTGTTAATAACATATTTAAGCTCGAAGGTTTTAGTAAGAAAATATCACTAAATTCTATAAGCACATTCGATATCCTGTTTTGATACTAGCTATTAGTTTAGCGTTATATTTACAGAATTTGAATTGTGATTCATGTAGTAAATAATATTCATCGTAACTGTTCAGCTCTACTACATACAGTTACAATCATCTTGTTTAGAAACACAGATTTAAATAACATTGTTATGACCGAGTAATAGTCTTTTACCATTACTATAGGTTCGCGACCTCTAACTCTTAATCTGAGTTATTTAAGTTAAGCAAATCCTTATGATATGCAATAAATCGTCACAACCGAGAGAGTAATTTTAAAACTACGTTTATTATTCCGTCTATCCGTGAGAGTGAATTCAATTTTCACCTCATATAATCAGTCGAAAACGGCTAAGATAAACCGGATAAACGGACTTAGATTATTTTTACAAGCAATCAATTCCATACAAAATAATATAGCATAAGCTTACATCCTATAGTAAACGTATTAATCTAATACTGTTAAAAAACAGAAATTTATTGGCCAGGTAACGCTTGGCCAATGTCGGTAATGGCCAAGCGTTACTTGGTAATTTTATGGTATCAGATTTGTCTATTACGTTTTATTCGATTATAATAAAGGAAACTAATTTCGCTTCTAAAAATACTTTTAATATGTATTTAGGATGTTTCTTGATATCAATTAAACGACTGAAATAAATTTTTCACATTACCTGACGTCAATTTAGGTATAATGGTGTCACAATTTCACTTCTGCTACAAGGTAACATACAGTAAAAGTTTTTAAGTAGCTACTGACTTAAACGCCCTTTTACTTAACGTTAAACACACACAGCAAAATACTGTAAAGATTAGACTTTTATTAGCAAAGATACATCTACAACTTTTACTACACCACTCAACTCCAATGTTACCGTTTATATAGGAACCGTCTAATTTGTAAACAACAATAGTATTATAATTATGCCTTACTAGGAGAAACATCTCAAACTGAGATGTTCCTTGCATGGCTTTTCTATCAGTAAATATTTTGAATCTCTTACTCATACTTATTCTTAATCTAAGCTCGTAGGTTGTCTAATTCAACTATCATCAACTAGAACTTGAATCATCTTACTGCCATCTATCACACAATAACAATCAATATCAGATATTTAATGAACTATCACAAACAACATCCACGTTAAGGCATTACTTACCTTACCCAGCACTAGCTACTACTGTACTTATTAAACTGTTCTAATGGTAAGGCAACACCGTAACAGACGGTAAGTTTTTTATAAAATGACTAGTTGTCAATCCACAGTAATTCTTTAATCATAGTATTAAGTTACTGTTACCGTTTTACTTCGTTGAGAGTAAGTATCTAATTTATGGCTATGAAATCAGAATAGTACATTTTACGAGTAAAATAACGGGTACTGCTATACTTTGGTTAGAGTAAGTATCGCAATTTCTGGCTGTGAGATTAAGATAGGACATTTTACGAGTAAAATAAATTAGTACGAGTATACAAAAGTGTACACTTTCTATTACGGCTGTGTTATTTTTTTGTATAAAATATTGAACTACGGTTCTAATTATGAATATCTAGATGGTTCACGTTCAGTTTCTCGATATTTTACACTAGTAACAAATTTTTAGTCACATTCCAATATCAATAAAATATTTTATTAGTACATTTCTCATTATTAAAGTCCGCAAGGTACAATATTCATTAGAATACTTGACGATCAATGAGAGTTACATTTGCGGTCTTTTTCTCCCTTAGTTTTCTTGACTGTATCTCATCAAGGATAAATTCGTGCGATTATATATAAAGTTATTTATTGAACTAGCTTAATTAGCTGCTATGACAAACGATAATGGCTGTTTAAATCTGATTTTGTTGTAATAAGGAGTAATTTTATAGCTGAAATGTCTAAGGCTTTGGCTAGGTTAAAGCTGAAATAGGTATAGATGTTGAACAAGAATGAAGACTAGAAATAGAATAATGGTCTAATGAGCATTTGACTTCAGAAATATGTAATGAATATCAGCAGTTTCCTAATTTTATGAATATTTCTAATTCTTTTTTCAACAAAAGATCATTCGTAATAAAATTCAGAGTGCAATCTTTACAATTATAAAGAAAATGAAGTAGTCGTACCTCTAGGCTTTAAGTCTAGAGTCAATAGCTCATTTAAGCCATAAATTCTATCTTTGTGATTAAGAACATCATCTAATATGATTAATAAAATGTTACCACATTAATATTATAAGTCAGCCTAATATTTGCAGAAATAATGGCATTAGGTTCGTGTAAGATATATTCTTATCAAGTTTATGATATTTTAGAATCGCATTTTGCTGGATTCTTACTACACTATTGCAAAACGAAACGTTCTTTGTAGGTGCTAGGGCAATATTAAAACTCCTATTTCAGGAAAATAATTAGCATATTGCAGCAAAGATAGCTAGTTTTAGCCATTTCAGAAAATAAAATCATTTTATTCCGGTTTACTGAAACTAAAAGCATAATAGTCCTTAAATCAATACCCTGAAGCTATTTTATAATGGAAAATATTATCTATTAACGATACACGGAATATTATATTTTAGATAATTACGATATAATAAATGCTCATTAATCTTCTTATCCAGCCGTAAGTTATTCGTATAATTCATTATTGTTGTAACTGAGTAGCTAAATTGATTCTTTAGGATGAATTTTAAATATCAATAAGATTAAGGTATCGTAAAGGATATTTTGATTGTATTGATGTTGAAACTTATCTCATACGTCAATTATTTTCTATTTTAAGTAATGTTCTCAATACGAGTATTGATTAGTAAATATCACTTGATAATGTATGCGTAGCCTACTAGGCTCATCGTCTTCATTCTTATTTTTATTTACCTGATTTTAACAATAAAAAATGTATGGATATTAACATATGTTGAGCTTGAAGGAATAATAATATCTGAAATGTTGGCTTGGCCATTATCATATGGCTTAGCCTAGCTCAATCTACTCTAATGGATTCAAAAATTAATTTAGCTATTGCATCTATATAATACGTGAAATGGACTGTTGTAAGTTAGTAGACTATCGCTAAAAAATTATAATAGCAGATTATTGGATAGAATACGGTAAATGTTTGATTATGGATCAATCAATTTATTAAATTATTATTTTATTGTCTTACAATGCGATGAAATAGTCTTGGAAGATCTAGTATTGGCCCGATGATGATTTGTATCCATTTTAGCGTAGTACTTGAGAAATTGGTAATAATCGAATGCGTGGCAAAGGCATAGGTAAAGAGTTAGTTTTGAAGATACTACAGGGATGGCAATGATTTTAGGCTATAGCGGGTACGAATATTAAGGAAATTATAGCTATCTGGGCCGTCCGTATTTTTGTATTTAGATAATAATAGATTTAAAAAGCTGTTTACATTTTAAATGATTAAAGGATTTAATTCTTAATGCAATTCAGAGAAATGGGCTGGTAATTAAATACCGTCAGTACATAAATTATTTCGTGAATTATAAGTATATTAAAGAAAACTTAGTTAACAGTCCACTCTACCGTTTGTGTCTGTTGATTATTAGTATTATTCCTATTCATAATTCTAATAAGTGTCTAAAAAGATATATACACCCATTCGTTGTTAATGTTTAAGCAATAATACTGATAATAAGCGAGTGTTTTAAAGCTAAAGGTTAATAATTTTACAGCAACTAGGTACTTATTAAAAATGAAACAGTTTTGTGGCATAACAATCAGGATTATCAGGGATCCTAGGCATTTTTCTTAGGCAATTACATAGGCCTCTAATTCGCATCCATGTTAAGAGCTATTTATGTAAAACTATGATATCTTGGTGATGGAATGGCGAAGAATATTAAATAGAGATCTAGATAGGTGTTACATGATCTCCTCGAGATGTTTAGATACAATAAAGTGAAGAGGTTTCAAAAGGTTCTATATATGTTTTCGTAATTAATGATCAATAACTCTAGGTGCATTAATAATATATGATAGCCAAATTATTGTATTATTTCATTAATATCCGACAGGAAATTACCTCTGAATATCATTTGATACAGGCTCTCAATGCATTTATAATTGGCAGTTGCAGCCTGCTTATCGACAATAAATTTGAGAGTCACTCGTTGTTGAAAGATTATGTTTGTGCAAGAATAACATAGAATTAATCTACTGTAGGTTATAATGAAAGTGCGATTTTTGTACAATCGTATTATAAGAGGTAATGGCGATAAATTTCTATAATCCATTAGCTTGCCCTCAGCCGTAATCTACTTTCATATAAATAGCAAATTGAATACTTGATCCTTAATATATTCTGTTTATGTGCTTATTGTAATATTCAAGATTCAGTTATGTAAAAATTCTTTTGACTAAATCTATTATCCATTCCTATTTATTATTGACTTATTGATCAGCATTGACATCACCATCAAAACTTATTGACAGTTCGGCAGCTTTGCTATCTATTGGATCATTTTTATTTTGTTGTTTCTGTAATAATACGAAGTAAATTCATTTGTTTTACTTCTTCTGTGATGCCTATCCTGCTGGAATTGATTCTCTCTTAAGAGTTGATTACACGAATTATTATCATACAACCAAATATTAGCTAATTCTGAGACAAGAAATTTGAAAAGCTGATTAAATTTTTCTTGCATAATATAGTAAATATTAAATTCGACAAGTACTTTTAGACCAAAAGATAGCAAATTTTTTGGCTAAAGCTGTTGCAATTTGAAACTAATAATTGGACTGACTTCCAAGGCGAGAGAGTAAATTTTCAAGTCTCTCGTCTACAACCTGAAAACTTGCGAAAATATTATTTTCACTATTTTATTGCTCTTTAACACAATAAATTGTGTTTAGATATTTGAGAGAAATCTTTCCAATTTTTATGCGGATATACCTAACGAATTCAGCGCGTCCTTTTAGATTATTCGATTCCTTTGCCTCATGAAATCCTGTATTAAGAAGACAGATTGACATCAATCTATTATCACATAGACTCTAAATTTTTTTAATAATGATGTAAGCTTAACATAACTAATTTATACTTTCGTTCGCCACAAGATATAGTTTTCTATAATGTAAAAATAAAACAATAAAGTAAGCCTTGCAGGTAATATTATTCCATTTTATGATTAATTTATGGATATCAATTTTTGATTTTGTTTAGGATATTGTGTTTAAGTACAAAGCCAGCAAAATTACCTGCTAAATTAAGCTATATGATTGATTGTAACCGCGGTAGATAATAACCAGCTTTTCCTTATGAATAGCTGAATATACTTGTAGCCGAAAAAAACTATTGTGATATTGTAAAGATTCGCGTTCTTTATAATTATTACGTATTATATCGATAAATATAGATTACTGGAATACAACAATATACTGCTTTATTTCGAATGGATAAACCCTTTATTTTAGCACTGTACAATAAGGAATCAAGCAGCCTTCAAATTTTAAGCTATTATTGTAGGCATTAATGCATATTTGTGACAGTACAATTGCAATCGAATTCCGTTATTACTGTAATATTAGTTCAACTTGTAGTAGACGTTGGGGATTTGCGTAGGAATATTACGGACAAGTTAAAGCGAGCGATTGTATCTTCGTAACCTACTTTTAATTCTAATCAACGATCATCACTTTGGGAATCTAAATTTATATAACTCGGGATTGCCACTATGAAGGTTTTATGGTGCAGTATAATAATACTCTTCACATCAAGCTTCTCCTTGACTGTTGCAGCCAAGAATAAAACTCTAACAATTGCGGGCTTTCTACCATTAAGTAACACGTACATTACATTTCTTGGAAAAATGACATTGGATGCTGGTAGACTGGCTATCCTAGATATCAATAATAGATCCGATATTTTGCCTGAATATAAACTTTCCATGGATGTATGGGATACGGAGGTAGGTATTATTGTTAAAAAATAGGTCACCGTTTAAGTATTCGGTATTAGCAAAATCATTTAGTATCCTGTGTTCTAATGGAGCGAGGAAATAATTAAGAGAGGGACCTAAGCTAATGTTTTCTCATACCAGTATTTATGTTGTTGCATTAATTCAAATTTATCAAGATTAGCTTTGAAATGATGCAATGTATCATAGAGCTATCTTTATTATAGCCGTCGGGCTTTGAAATTGCATCATGGCAATTATATTAAATGCATTCTATTAATATCGCTTTAACTGAGTATATCCGTTAAATACTGGGTGTCTAGAAAATGGATTTGTAAACAATTTAAGATTATCTTTTGCCTTATTAACCTGTGAAGGTCTAGCAATGGACACAATTTACCGATAATTTCTAGAAGACGCAATTGTGATAGATTAGAAATAATTCACAAGTTCTAGAATGTGGGGGAGAATAGGCATTAAAGTATCGTCTACTCTGGTTTTTAATATGAATTGACCAACATGATAACTATCATGTGGGAGTCCAAGAATGAAAATAGTAATTTCAATCATTCAATATAGAGCATATCTTTAAGCATTTTTGTGCGGCAAATTTGGTAAAACTTGATTCATCTTTTAATTACGAATAGAGAAATAATACTTAGTTAATTTCAGTATCGATTCGCTTTATGGTAAGGGAATCTATCTAGGCGCCGTAAGCCCAGTAGTCAAATAAATTCAACGTCAATAAGATTTTAAGTTGGTATTGTATAAAGGCGTAAATGACATTTTCATTATTAATTATGCTTAATGCTTTCGGGCATTGAAATCAAAAGTTTTACCAATAATCATTTGATTCCAGAATAAATGGAAAAGCAGTTTATAATTTTTCTTACTTTTTATTACAGTAATCTATTCAAAAAACCGTAGGAGTAAATTGAATTATTTTAGGATGAGTAAAGCATCTCCAGCAGAATGATAAATAATTGAGTTTTTTTTGTTTTCGTATGACATAATTATAATCGATCATATAATAATTGTTATCGCCTGCAAGTCTAAATTTTTGTGTTATGGTTAATTCATGGCTTATCCGTGTACAGGTTTCTATCGAGATAAGATCTGATGCACCAATGAAGAGAACATAACAATAATTTCACCTTTTCATTTCATGCTTTTATGGAAATGGGAAGTTAAATATCTTTACTAAATATACTTAACGCAGTATCCGCAGGCTAATTCGATTTCAGTGCTCTAGATTCCACTTCATTTTATACATATACATGTAGGCTGATGGGCTGTGCCCTTTGGTTTGTTTCTCAATTTAAGGATTTCTAGAAGTAAATCAACGTCCTTATTGAGCAGAATAAATTTAAATTCAGTATCACTGCATTATTCAGGAAGTCCACTAATGTGGAAGGACTTGTTCCTCTCTAACAGCGATCAATTTCATAGTATAAACTGAAATTCGCGAATATTCATTTCGGTACATCACAGTCGTATAATGTAGTTTCAATAAGTATATAGTTGTATGCTTTACTGTTCGAAAGGTTGGTGCTCATAATTATCAGACTTTAGTGTGACAATTTATTCCATTATAACTAGATTTAGCATTACCCTCTTATATATCGCGGACCACATTAGTTACATATTTTACCGTCCGGAAGACAGGTGCTTATAATTTTCAGTCTTTACTAGTATGACTATTTATTGCTTTATTACAAGCTTAGGCATTACCTTCATACATATCTCGGTAATCTTTCAATGATGAACATATTAGTTATATGTTTTACCATTTGAAAGACAGGTGATTATGAATTTAAAACTTCCGTACCATAATTTGTTTTTATATGACTAGATTAGGTATTAGCCTCCACTGTGTCACTGTAACCCTTTGACGATGAATACATGGATCTTTTCTAAACATTTACTGTTTATTTAGGTTTTATAACAAGGGTAGTGAGTGTAGTTACTATATGCGCTACTGTATTCAGTAGATGAAAGAATGCCTTCCTCGAAAATGATATCAGATTTCAATAGTATAGTCAGTAGTTCTAAATTAAAGATAGTAGATGTTCTCTTCCTCATGTGTTGCAATCCACTGCATAGGGAATACTGTAGATCTACTCTTCAAGTATTAGTCTCTGTACTGATATAATCAGTTCTACGTTACCTTTTATCCTACAGACACCTTTTTTATCAACGCGCATACTATGCTGGTTAACTGTTAGCTTTTTAGCTCAATTTCCACTGTTTGGTTCTGATCACCTAATCGGCTACTCAAGTCCTTTATGAAGAATCGCTTTTATGGAACATACTTTAATAACTTAATTAGTTAATGAGTTTTATGCATTGAGTTAACTATCATCACTAAGATATATTATAATTTTTAAATCAATATATTTAAATGTGTTACATGTTATATTCGTTTGTTCAGCTGCTGGATAAATGATAATGGATGATATAACTAAAGGCTGCTAGAATAAAATAAACTTTATATATGTACGAGCCTTTTCATATGTACTTATATTTACGGGATTGCAGTAGTCCTTGATATATAAAATTTATATTCGAATATGGCGCAAACAAAATTATAGCGATCTCCATAGCAGCTTGATGTATGCGGTTGTAACACAGTTGATGCAAATTCTGATTAAGGAATAGAACTTCTTAAGATATAACTGATCAGTTAGCATAACTTAGGTTCTGAGATCCCTGAGTTAAGTTAAGATTAATATTTTAATTTTCTTAGCAATACATTTAATCAATTTTTAAATTGTTAATAATGGTATTTGAGTATGTTGTTTAGAAGAAATCTTTCTCTTGCAATTTATGACGGCATTCCACGTTTATACAGTTCGCTAGGACATAGACGTCTATCTATTTTACTGGTCTGTCATGCTTTTATATATAAAAATATGTTCTCAGTAATCAATTTCTTTTCAGTATAAAACTTGGGTGACAACCAAATCCTTCTTCGACGCTGTCACAACTGGACCTATTAAAATTGCCACCTTCGGTCCATTGACTAGCATTTGTGCGAAACCTGTTGCATCGATCGCTAAATATTGGAATTTGATAACGGTAAAATTGATATTTCATAATTTTAGTACATTTCGGTTTGTATTACTATATCGCTACATTATTCATTCAACGGCTAACAGCTGTCACTGAATACTTTTAGTTTGGAATAGTGCTACTAAGCTTAAGTTCAAAAAGGAGGTATTATTATTGCACTTAAATGAATATGTACTGTAGACCAATGCGAGGTAGCACGTTGTAATCTTAGTTGAATTACTATTGAAAGCGGAGGTAGTACGATATTTTAACTGGATTATAGGATATCTGAAACTCTTATAATTAATTGTATGATCTACTTAATCTGCTTTAATAGATAGCTAGTGGAGTTTCATCAGCTGCTCTAATAAACAGAGCCACATATCCTCACTTTTTCACAACGGAAACTACGGATATTACCCTGAACCAAATTAGAGTTGCCCTTTTAAAACGCTACAACTGGACCCGTGTTGCTACCATCCATTACATTGAAGAAACTGACGAAACGGTAGGTGTCTTACATGAATTAAATTTCAAAGTATTATTCATACTGCAATTAATGAATGAAGACAGAATTTGTTATAATAACTGTTCGAATTAATGATTTGTGACAAATGTAATTTTCTTCTGTATAATACCATAAATGAGTACAAAAATGATTTTTTGGCTTGAATTATTACTAACAGATATCTTAAATACTGTATATTGAAATATAATGCATTAAATAAGCGCAAGTATCATGGATACGTTACCGGTATTAAATTACTGTTAATATACTAATGGCTTAGAAGTTAGCTATTAATAGATTTTAAGACAGGGCATATTAGTATATCAAGTGTTCCGAATACCTTCGTGATCATATCTGCTGCTTGCTATCAGATAGATAAATTGCGCAATGTAGCCGTAGTGTATTTAGAATATACTGTAACTATATTCTACCCTTAAATATAGACATGTTGTATTGCTCTTATATTTAGACAGATCTACCGTCCGCTTACTCTACATTCATATATAGACTACTGTATTTAGTTATTAAGGTACTCGCTGTTTTCTACAATCATCTGCTATTTTGTAACCTGTTATGGTATATGTTGTATCTAATTCCACAATCTTATTCTCTGCATGTGCTCTATCTTTAAAACTATAAATATCGGCGATTTCTACCTCAGAGTTCGTTAGCTTCTCAGTTAGTCTTCTAGTTAGTCTCTCACAGTCTAATACTTCTACTCGTTACTCACGACAGCTTGCACGCTGATCTACCGTAACTACCTCACTGTACTTCACATTACTAACCTACAATAAAGCATAACTTTTATAAACCCTTTGGTGTAATAATTGTAAATGGCGACTAAATATCAATCCTCTGAGATATTGAACCCTCCAGCACAGTAGCATAAGGTACTAGAAAGCTATTTATTAGTTTTACATCACAGTAGATGCTGCCATAAAATAGGATTATTGTACCCAAACATTGAACATAAAAATTGGTAGGATGTAAATATCAAAATATTTTTTCTACTGTATACTATTCTATTAGATCTATCATCGGGATATTTAAATTATTAAGCTTGTATTTGTCATTGTGCTACAGTACCTATTAAAAATGGATATGTGTAAGTTTACGCCTATAATCAATGAATTGCTGACCTATCTTATTTCTTATTATAATATCTAGTCTGCCAAAAACTTTATTGCAGATGCCATTGCTCAAAATATCACATTGGTTACTTCTGAAGCATTTGTAACAGATCCTGTCGCTCAGGTTAAAAGTATTAAGGTACGGAAATGAGATTAATAAAATGAAATTAATGATATTTATAACCACTTTCTCGCCAATAAATAAGTTTTTTACAATCACTTATAACGTATGATATTTACGTTTGATGAATTCTACCAGTAGTTTCAAAATTTGATAATTAAAAAGACAATTACTATAAGTATTTGATTAGTGGCTTTACACAGTAAAGTAACTCTTCTAAGACTAAAATATGCATTTTGATCAGTCTACTATAGTAAGACGAAATATAAAATACAGTATAACGATAGAACTGGCGGTAATGCACGATTTTATTGTAGACATTTAGAAGTTTAATATGAATATTGTCTCATCATTTGATATTAGTTCAATCCTATACTTATTGTTGCAATTTTATTGTGTTATAATGGTGACGATGATTAATTTTTGTAGGAAAAAGGTGCAAGAATTATTTTGCTTTTCGCTAGTACAGAAAACTCTATTAGAGTTATTTGTCAGGTAGGATCAATAATGCAATTATTCAAATTTGAGATAAAAAATATAATAATTAAATTTTAATGATATGGTACAGTAGTAGGGCTAATTATAGACTTTGGATTTCTAACTAATTTACATCGCGGCTTACTGTTGGCGTATTGCATAGATTGTGGAATAAGTTATGGCTATTTTTAGCGATTGTAAATAAATAAGCGGGTCTTATTAGTGTCCTAAAAATTATCAAAGGCTTTAGTATTTAGTGAAGTATCATAGATAATTCGCGTATTTCGATGCTACTGGCATTTTTACGGTTTGTGCTACCTGAGTGAATTGCGAGATCTACATCGTAAAATTACAATGCCATATTTTGAAATCTATAACTATCTCATGAATGTCTTGTAGTATTTGATAGCCAGTAAACGAAATCTGTAATAAATTTATTTGTAGGCTTATCTGACTGATTCTATTGGGATAACATAGCAGCATTTTAATTTGAATATCAAAAATGATATGCTACATCTATACCGAACAAATGTTCAGTTTTTCATATTCTTCGATTTCTAAAATAGTAAGGAATAAAAGATTAATTACAGGTAGCATCGACGTATTACGTTAGTGAATGACCCGTGATTACATAGTAATTTCTCATAATGGTTTTGATACTTGCTTTCAGGCCTATCATCAAGGTTTATATGGGCCTCATTATATTTGGTTTATTACATATGGGCATAATACGGATTGGTGGAAATCCAATCTCGGACAAGGGAATGTGAACTGCTCTATCGCTGAAATTGAACAAGTTTTAACAAACTATTTTACTTTTAATAATATCAAATTGGGCCTTAATCCAAACACAATCTCTGGCATGGTAAGTCAATCATGCTTGAAAATTTTTTATCACTACGTAAACGACTCTATGCTACTCTGTATATAATGGCGCCTGTAATGCTAACTGTTGCTAAATTATGATCAAACTTCTTCACAATGCACGCAATTCATAGACTATATGATTATCACTCCATATAATGTCTACAGAGCAGTATTATGGCAGTTAATGAGATTTGATGATTAGCACTCATCTATTGGTAATAGAAAATAGGAAAAATTAACAAAATAGATGAAAATATTGCAACGGTACTCAGGAATATATATCTAAAGGCTCAATAGTTCTGAATATTGTCAAAAAAGGCTAATTTATAATTACTAATTTATAGACTAAAAGTAATTATTAATTGACAATGAGGCTATCACTGACTAACCAATATAGTTAGTAGAAAGTAATAATCCTGTTGTAAAATTTCCATAAGTTACAATTCTGTGAGAAATTTACGCGTAACTAATCACGTATTACTAAAACATTTTACATGTTGATGCTAATCTAATATCCAAACTTACAATTCCGTTTCTGAATAGGTGTTAATATCAACTATTATGCCTTCTTGGAATATGCATTAAATCTGCTAATTCTACTGTACCTTTTTACATCAGCTCTTAATTTGATTAACAACAGCGAGTCTGCTGGATCGTAAAGTAGATGTTGTCTGTTGTAAGGAGTTTATATCGAATTTTTCGCTGCCAAAATAGATTGCTGTATAACACGAATGTGATAACAAAAATCTATCTGATTAATAACTTTATATAATTTGGCATAGATAAAATAAAGGCTTGTTTCTTTGATGTTAAATTCCAGATTCATGTAGCTTACTACATCTAATTGACTAAAATATTTACTGTATGTTTTTATGTATCTATATGTTATACTTTGAAATGCTATTAGAATTCATCCCAATACATGGAGCACTACTACAGTTATGTTCAACGGCCACCTTCACTTTATAAGTATTTTCAAATAAATGGTTATGATGCAATGTGGGCATTGGCATTGGCTTTAAACAAAACTGAGAATATTCTTAAAGAAAGTGGAAGTACATTATCTGATTTTCATTATAAAAATAGCTTTATAAGAAGTATTTTATTTAATGAAATGTCAAACACAAATTTTATTGGAATTAGTGTAAGTATGCGTTGTAGACTTCAATGTGCAACAGTTTCATACTTTATATCAATTACTAAGGTAATTTTATATTGTTGTTCTATAGGGACCAGTTCGTTTCACTGACGGAGCTCGAATAACTGACGTTGGAATTTACCAATGCCAAAGTATAAATGATTACAAACTACCAATTGTTATCGGAAAGTCTACATGATTATCAAGAATTAGCGATACTGTAGTTGTTAATACTGATAGTATTCCTTATTTATCTCTCAATTGAGGGTATAAGCTTACTTTTCTTTAATACTAATTCTGTATTTAATGATGAACTATAGTCAAGAATAATCAGTCAAAAATTGTCCAAGTTGGGACACATTTTGGTCTCACAGAGAAAATGAATATCAAAGAAGATGAAATTTATTGGATTAGTAAGTGTGATATTTGTGTTGTAGATTGCGTTCCGTTGATTGTAAGGCAAACTGTCATCAAGTTGGTTAGAGTAAATACGAGAAATCTGTTATGTGTTACCGCCCATGAATCAGTAATTTTCCTTTTAGTGATAATAAGCGTATTTAATATGGTCGTTTCATAACTTCTATTGATGGATTAATTTTATCCTGTTAAGATTACTTGCTCTCGACATAATTTCTATTTCTTTTTTGCGATATCGCAGGTGGAGGTGTACCAGCAGATCAAGTAAAAACCGAGGATAGTATTATTGGAATTTCAAGAGCAACTTTTCTTGCCATGACTGTTCTGGCTGTATTAGCTATAATTTGCGCTTCAATTTTTCTTGTAATAAATATTACTCACAGAAAACTCAGGTGAGCTGAATATTTTAATATTGGATTTAACGTAGTAATTTATTAACTTTCAACCATAGTGATGTTTATAGCGAATGTAAAATCTACCTGAAAATGATTCTGTAAAATTGATAATTGTTACCTTTATCGAAAATATTAACAATTAAGGTTTTATCTGAGCAATCTATCTCTACACTTGTATGGAAAATCTTCACTGATTTGATATAAGCCCTTAAACAATTATGGATATTTAATTATGACTCGGGACATAATTTCGCTTTAATAAGCATCAATCCTACTAAAATTCTTGAATTTGATATTATTTGTTAGACATATCAAAATGTCAAGTCCTACCATCAACAATCTATTTCTTTTTGGCTGTATCATTTGTTATATTGCAGCGATAACATTCGGTATCGATTCCAACAGTGCCGGCGGGGTGTTTCCTCCTGCAATATGTGCAGTTCGTGTGTGGTTACTAAGCGTTGGATTTTCAATCGCTTTTGGATCTCTACTAACCAAAACATGGCGCGTTTACCGAATCTTTACCAGCGGCAAAAAAACTAAAATTGTAATTTCTAGCTATTGTTGATAAATTCTTCATGTACGCAACATATGGGTTGATAAATTGTAGTACACATTTACGTATATCTTAATATATTAGTATTGTTTTTATCAGGTCATTCGAGATTATCAGCTTATCATCATGGTCATTTTCTTGGTAATATTTGATGTTATTTACTTGACAATTTGGGAATTGATCGATCCATTAACTAGCAAGCTGAGATTTTTAAGAACTGAGGTAGATTGATAAC